CAACACTGCAACAACAGTTTTGTCCTTTCTGCAAATATCCTGTAATAGACAACACTAGATAATTACTTATCACAGTCAAACAACCTTTTTACTAATTTAAGTTAATTCCAAACCTGCATTGCAGCTTACAGAATACATATAACTCTCAGTATGAATGTCACATTATATCTGTAGACATCAAATATGCAAGTATTGTTAAGCTATGAACAGTCACAGCACCACCACAGGAGCGATGCGGTAAATGACCTGTATTTGTATAGCGCTTTTCTAGTCCCTAAGGACCCCAAAGCGCTTTACACAACCTGTCATCCACACACTGGTGATGGTAAGCTACATTGTAGCCACAGCCACCTTGGGGCGGACTGACAGAGGCGAGGCTGCCGGACACTGGCGCCAACGGGCCCTCTGACCACCACCAGTAGGTGCAATGGGTGAAGTGTCTTGCCCAAGGACACAACGACTGAGACTGTCAAGCCGGTGCTTCCGTTTACAAGGCGAACTCCCAACTCTTGAGCCACGATCGCCTCGGTGACACTCAGAGATGTTACAAAGGAATCCAGTGTTACTGCACAGCCCAAAACACAACATTTGAGGTCAATAAATACAAAAAGGCATTTTATATTTTAGTTGCATGCCAAGAGCAGTAAATAAATAAATATCTGAAAAAATAATAAATGTGCTTCATCTTCATGTGATCACAGATCTTGTTGGACTTCTCTGCCCTCAGCTCTGGGCTACTATTCATCCTATGCATCAAGCTAAACATTTATGGCTTCATTGAGCACTCAGGGAACTGTTGCATTCTTCAGAGCTTTTACTAATGTACCTTTTGTAGTACTTTCATTCTTGTAAAATGATTGCTTGGAGTAAAAGCTCCACTCCAGCCATTACATGGTTTTTCTGCTATTCAACCACTAGATGGCGGGCCTTGACATGACCAGACCAGGAATACAAATATTTGTTGATACAAAGATTCAATTACTTAAAAGAAATGACTATGACTGGTGTTATAGCTACGTATGACATTTGCAGGGAGTTTATAGATTAGCTGAACAGACCAAAGG